GGTATAATATAATAATATAGTATTAAAAAGTATTTATTGAATACTAATTAATAGGATTTAAAAGTTTATTCACCAGACGAACGGATTTCTAATATTTCGCTAAGAAGCAAATAAATGTCGAAATATCATTATTGTTAGATCTTCAAGCAGAATTAAAATTAACCTACGAGGATTTGAAAATAATTCTGCAATACTTAATGATAGTATACCAACCTTCTTTGAATATGCAAGTTTCGTCTATGAAAAAGAAAAGAATAATGCTGTTCTACGCTGTTTACATATAGAAGATATCATATTGATCAATATCGAAGATGGGGACAATTTCGCGATCATAAGGGCTATATTTTATTATCAAAAGAACGATCATCGATTTGTGTTTGTTATCGTTGATTGGTTTAAAAAATTAAATCGAACAATGCTAAGCTGTCCATTATACAAGTTACAGAAGATAAATACTAATTGACGAAAGTGTTTTCTATTAGTTTAGTGAATGCGACAAATATCGTGCATTTTGTTCATAATTGTAAAGATGAAGAATGCATCAGAGGCAATCATGATACTAGAAATGATTTGTATATACGAAATTTATTTTTCTTTAAAGCTATTTAATGTTTATTATTTTATATAAGTTAATTAATAGGACATTTTACATTTTGCATTAATAACAGTCTGCATTTATAGAACAATTTACATTTCATGTATGCTTCAGAATATATACAATTAGATTTAGAATAGAACATTTTACTATGACTTTATTATTTATCTAATGAGACTTTAATGTACAGTCAATATAACTTTTACTAAACTTTTACTATACATTCGATATAGTTTAAACATATATTCGACATACATTCAATATACTTCTAATTTACATTTACTATCACTTTGACTGTTTTTATACAATCAGGTTAAAATCAGGTGACACTTTCCTTAACATTAATCAACTTTATTTGTGTGATTTACATAAGCTTATCGTGACGATATGAAACCATATCGTTACCAAATCTTGGTTATAAGGTTTGCGATAAATTTTCAACTTGGTCACGATATGGTCTTAAAAATTTCTGCAAAGTTCGTATTCAACTTCTCCATCTCCTATCATGGGAGGAAGCTATCCAGTCTCATATTCCATCTCCTAAAATAAACCCTTATATAGCTGCTCATAGGAAAAGTTTTGAACAACCTACTTCAATTCAATCCAATTTACCTCCCGAATTCTTTATCACAATTATATAATAATTTACCTCCTCAAATTCCAATGACAATACCTTTTGATGTCCCTGCTCAGCAATTATATTTGAATTACCCTACTAGCGCAACTTCTTCGCCTCAGCAACAACCTTATTACCCCCCTGGTTACGTTCCGGCCGAAAGCGATAGGAAAGGAAAAGGCAAGGCTAAAATTTCAAAGAAATTAAGAATTGGCAATTAAGAAAGGGGACTTCGATTGGGGGATAACTTATTATATAAATAATGTGTTGAGAAAATAATTTGTTGAACGAATTATTATTTAACTATTTTAAATTTATTTGCTAAATCCACCACACAAAATTATGGTTTTCCAAAATTATATTTATTACAATTATATAAAATTCAAAAAAACATTTAACCAATCCGAATTCTCCTTCGCAAATAATCACAATTTTTTATTTAGCACAAAATTTTATTAACTTACATATTTAATTCTTTTTGTATTTCCATCTTATTGCTAAGTTTTATTTCATGTATCATTTTAACCATCCATCCTTTACGATTTTACCGCCTCTCTATTCAACAAGTAAATTAAAATCTAGATGATTTTAAACCAAATTTTTATTTTGTGTATTAATAATATTAGTTGTTATTTGATGTAAATGTAGATTTTTGGGTTTTATATTATATGGGTCAATTGCTAGGAAAATCAGGTTCCGGGAATTTTTTAACAAAATTGAAATTTTTATTGCATTTTAGTTTTTGATGTTATTAGATTAAAATGTATTAAGCTCTT